AAATTGTGTTCTATTTCCTCTCTCTTTTGTCTCTCCATTTCCCAGTACTTGGTTAGTGGGATAATGTTGACAAAATATTAGTCTTGCCATCTTGAAATCTGTCCACTGGGGACATGGTTGTTTATTAGCAGACTACTGCTATATCTACACCATTTTTGGTTAGACAGCCTTTGTCATTTGATGTAAGATTTAGGAAATGTTGCTTTTTTGCAAAGAAATATTTACCTAGAGAATAAGGAAAAATTGGGTTTGTGACATTTTAGCAGAGACAGCTGACGGAGATGATAGCCAGCCTTCCACAAGTGGCCAGCCCTCCACAGCCAAAAGGAGGAGGCTCTCAGGGCCTAATTTTGATGACTATTTTAATATACGCAAGAAACAGCAGGAGCTGGATGCCCAGCACCTCCAGCAGGAGGATCAGTGAATCCAACTGGAAAATCAATGCTTAAGACAAGAGGCTCAGCGCCTTGAGCAAGAAAGAGCAAGGGATGAAAAAAAGTTTGCCTTGATTTCAAAGCTTATTGAAAAAATTGCTTATGGAATTATATTATGGTATATGCGGAACAACTGGGGAGGAAAGAAATAAACTATCCAACATTGTAAAAACTGCAAGCAAGATTATCGGGCAGGATCTACCTATGCTGGACGATATTTTTAAAGACAGAATGGAGAAAAAAAACTTAACACCATGGAAGACTCTTCTCATCTTGCATCATCACTTTTTACGTTTTTACCAAGCAATAGTAGACTTAATTTTTTAAAGGCAGTAAATGCTTTTTAAATAGCTTTTATCCAAGTGCATTTTAATTTGATCTCAAAACCTAATTCTTAATTTATCTATTGTGTTACTTTTACTCTGTATATTATCAAACTTGTTCCAAAAGGAAAAGGAGTTCTGATTTTATTAATTGGCCCAATAAACTGTTATCTTATCTTACACTGTCCTGGAACACAATTTACCCAACAAAAACCCTGCTTCAGTACAGAATCTGACAGAATGCTCCCTACAGACACCAGACCAACTGCAGTTATTTTATAAATATTTCTTCTTGGTGGCATATCAGAGCAAAATGACAAGGAAGTGCTGGACAGAAAAGTTTATGCAATGGCATCTGATGTAATTTTTATTCTCTCGAGGGCCACTGTGAAACCATGGAACATGTACGTGTGGATTTTCCTCTTTTACTAGTACTAATTAAGTGACCCAGACCCTGAATAGGATGGGTCACTGTGTCAATTACATTGACGCAAAGGGACTGGAAACTAAATTGACATCAAGAAAACAGAAGAAAACAGACAAAAGAACCCACACCTGCCACGGAAAACAATTGCAGCTGATTTGAATTGCACTGCAAGGGAACAGATTTATTGGCGGTGACAGACTATTTTTCAGATTTTATTGAAGTAAGAGAACTGAAAAGTATGGAATCCCAGGAGGGCCAAGAGAAAAAAATAAATAAATAAATAAATTGAAAAAAAAAATCAATACATTTGAAATGAAAAAAAAAAAGTTGTGAAATTTGCAAGATCGTGTATAATCCCGCGAGATCGCGCGTAATCCTGCGTAGTCGTGCGAGATCCCGCGAGATCAATCGTGTTTCATTTTCAAGATGAAATTTTTAAAAAAATTACAAAATCTTGCGAGAAAGTGCGAGAACAAAATCATGGTGAACGAGGCAAGGAGGGGCTGTTCGAAATACCAACAATGCAATGAACATGAAGAGGAGGATGGCATTTGTAAAGGGAAAACAAAGACAAAAGTCCACAATGGACCGGCGCCAGTACGTGGGATGCAAACACGTAAGTTGTTGACTATCGTTTAAATGGGAGTAATCAATGGTCTGGTGTGATATAGTCACAGTACTTAGTGTGTGGCGCAAAATTAAAATCAATTCAATGGGCTTACTGTTAAAACGGGGCATTTCGAAAGTCCAAAGGTTCATTGGTCAAAAAAATGGTAACATTGTCATTGGCTTTTTAATCAATGGTTCATTGGTCCGAAGGTTCTATAGTGAACATTCGGACCAATGAACCGTGAGACTATTGAACCTTCGGACTATTGCTAAAGATCATGTTTACAATTGAAACAGACCATCCAATACTCTGGGACCTATCAGGTATATTAGATTAATCTATTTCTAGATTATTTGCTACTGTACTGATGTACGTGCCTTTAGTGGGGCGCACAATATTGCCTAAGTAGGTCACGTCAAAAAGCAGCACTTCTTACCCCCCCTTCCCCAAAGGCCGCGTTTCTACCGCCTATTTAATTATTGGCTGCCAATTTACTTCCTCTCCCGAGTTGTTCATTTTGCCTATTCAATTCTGTTATTTTTTATTAATGACATGCGTATGTTTTCTTCATTTCAGCACTTGATGATCAGCAGCCATCATGTAGTTGGGCAAGTATTTCTTTAAAAAGAAAACAAAAATTTACGTTCCGGGACGGGAAGAAAAAACGCACTGAGGTATGTATATGTTTTGTACAATGTTATTTAAAGCAATTGTTTTTAATCCCTAACATAAAAATTATGTACTGAATCTGTTACAGTTTTATCAACTTAGCGCTGGCAGCACTCCTGGTTTTGGTCCTGACCCTGCTCTGTGGTTCTTTGTTCTTGAGACTGATATAATTAAGACACAGTTACAGCTCCTCCTCTTAGGCCACAATGGCTTGAGTCCGCCCCTGACTATCACACCATGCCTTCCTTTCAACTGAAAATGCTCCTGCTGGTGCTATTACAATACCATGTAAATTTAAATATATCTGATTGTATCAAATTTTCATTTTAGACCATCACTGTGACCAAACTAAAAAAAAAATAACATCTAAATCTGGTAAAATCAGATTTGGCATTGTGAGAGATGAAGATGGGATACCAAACAGAGAGGTAATTCCTTATTGATTGTTGAGCAGTCAGTCGAGCAATAAAGAATACAAGTTCAATCGTTTAGGACATAGCTTAACATAAAGAGATAATTATTAATAATATTGATAATATGAAAGCCCAACATAAATAGAGTATTAATTAATTAGGGCATTTACATAAAGTGTGGGTTCATACCTAATAAAAGTTGTATTACAACTTTGTTTCATTGCTGTAGGCATCAATTTCATTTTTGGTTTTACAATAAAGAACTGTTATCTTCCAGATCCCACTGAATGGTCCTTACTGCCATTCAGTTGCACTGGACTCATGCTGTCAGTATTTTGAAGGGAAGGACTCCCAATCCTTAATGGAAGCTGGGCAGAGGCTGTTTATTATGGCAAATAAAAATGGCCCAAGTTAAATCAAGAATATCTGGGCACAGCGAAGAAGATTTTTTTGTTTGTAATGATGTACAGCACAGAATCTGACAGAATGCTCCCTACAGACACCAGACCAACTGCAGTTATTTTATAAATATTTCTTCTCGGTGGCATATCAGAGCAAAATGACAAGGAAGTGCTGGACAGAAAAGTTTATGCAATGGCATCTGATGTAATTTTTATTCTCTCGAGGGCCACTGTGAAACCATGGAACATGCACATATGGATTTTCCTCTTTTACTAGTTCTAATTAAGCAACCCAGGCCCTGGGTCACTGTCTAAGTAACATTGATGTAAAGGGACTGGAAACCATATTGAGATATCCTGTCCTAATTGAAAGCAGTGATGCATGGAAGTAATCAAACTTAAAGCCCAACCTTGCAACAGCTAGTATTGGGGACAATAACAATGCCAATGTGAAGACACTACATGGCAATTAAACCCTGCATGTGACTGAGAGGCATCCCTTCCTGTTTTATATTCCTGGAGATAGAAGAATGTTAACAATTTGCCTGTGACATTATGTATTGGCCATGAATGAACAGTCAGATTGAAGATGTAGTCAGTGTGTTCAGAGTATCAAGAAAACAGAAGAAAACAGACAAAAGAACCCACACCTGCCACGGAAAACCATTGCAGCCGATTTAAATTGCACTGCAAGGGAACAGATTTGTTGGCAGTGACAGACTATTTTCAGATTTTATTGAAGTTAGAGAAATGAAAAGTTAGAGAACTAAAAAGCAACACTCACAGCCAGTCTGTGATAAGAGAATTTGCTTAAATATTTAGTGCATATGGGATCCCAGAAAAATTAATCAAAGACAATGACCCACAGTTCAATCACTTTTTACCTTTTCTAACCCCACTTGATTTTCTAAGGTTTTGGAAGATAAGTGAGAGCAGTGTGTCTCTACATGCAGGATTTATGTACAACTACATCAAAGATCCTTTGCCAATGTTGAAGACAGGCTACATGAATCCCATATCAGAGTCCCCAACAAGCAATAATGCTATAAGGGAATCTATGATGAGGACCAAGAATATTGCTAAAGAAACTGACCGGGACTATGCTGTGCTCAGATGTGACTTTGCAAGTAAACTCAAACCTGAGAGAACAGTTTCATTAGCCCTGTATGTATCAATTTAAATTATTGTTTTTCTTTTTATCAAGAGCTTATAAAACATGTGGGTATTACCTCCAATATTTCTGTGACTGTCAGTCATGGAGTAAATGACTAGGGTCATTTCACCTGGAATGAATTCACCTGGATTTTCATTCCAGATGAAATGACCCTAGGGGATTACAGAAATGATGAATGACTTGCTGTAAGGACAAGGAAAAAGCGTCACTGTACGTCAGACAAGGGACCGTGCGAAGCACTTATTGAAAATGCATAAAGAACATGAGGCAAATTCACAAAAAGCATGAGTTTACATTGAACCTTCCTCGATGTTTGCTTTTCGTGACATTCTATTGTTTCTTTTGCTGATCAAAATCCATTTAAACTTTTTAAAAAGTTTTTTTTAAATGTCATCACTATCAGCGTCAAAAAGAAGCGCTTGTACCACCAAATCAATAATGGAAGCCATCTTGTCACACAAGCGACCTCTATTGCTTACGTATTCGTTGTTTGGCGTTTGCGAAACGGCCGCTACGCCTTATGACGTACTCGTACGAACCTAGTTTTTGTACTTCGTCTTCGTTGTTTGCTAAACCTCTGTATTGACTAAGAGAAGGGAGTGTTTTGTAGTGTAACTTGATTGACATGACCTCGTTGTAGCGCAGAATGTAATGTAAACGAGAGAGAACAATGTAAGAGGTTGAACGGAGAGGAATTAATTGTAGATAGCAAAGTAGGAAAGTGATAATAAAGGATATGTAGGAACATGGAAGACAAAGTCAATAACGTTGTCACATTAGTCATACCAATAGTTTGGGGGAAAAGCATGCAAGAATCCTTGTTCATCCACCTTTTGGCAACTAATGCATGACAGCAAGTTAGCAGAGAAACCAATGTCATGATTCTGTCACTCCTTAACCACAATCTCTGCCTGTTCCCAGCTAGGGTCAAGTCATACCCTCCCCTTGCATTTTCTGCACTGGTTCACATTCAATTTATGGATATCCACTGCTTAATGGTTAAAACACGAAAGAAAAGATATTTGTAAGAGATGAGCTGTGCTTTGTCTGTTTAAAGAAAGCACTAGTGTCTATGTGTGACATGTACAAAACATAATAAGAGAGGTTTTCCTGCCATACATTTGCATGTAGAAACTGATCATGCAATTCTACATATAGAGGGTGGGGGTACTGAAATTATTTGTTAAGAACAAAGAACAATTCTAAGAAATTAGTAAGCTTTGTGCAAATGGAGGACAGAGCCTGAACTTGTGATGATTTGGTTTTCAGATCTGTGCCATTTCCTGAGATAGACAAACATCATCCCCACAGATACAATAACACACACGCAAATTGATAACTAACTTAATGCATGACTTCATCCAACTTTCTTATGTAGGTACTGTACTGTATATGCAGTAAGTCCGTACCTAGGAATCTTGCATAATGAATAGGATATGTCCTAATTTTGAATGAATAGGACAAAACTGTTATACAGACCCATATTTTGTAAGAGTCCTTACAGCTGCTGTCCTGGGGCATATAACTACAAGTCTAACGCACTTATATTGCTTGTATGGTATGGCATTACTTTTGCACAAACAATCAAAGCTCATGTCCCTCCTTGTAGGTTTTTTCACCCTCTCTGTTTCTTCTAGGCATCAGGCTGTCTGGTAGATCATAGTAAATCCTGTCCTCATCATACCCCTGATCACGCACCCACTGCATATCTGCTTGTTTCAGGTCATCAGCAGCAGTTGTCCATATGGTGAGACTATAGGAGAGAGACTGATCCAACAGCCATTTTAACTGAGGCCATGATGGTCGCACAGCAATGGCACGGACAGGAAAGGTGATAGGTTGGGTCAAGTTGATACAAATGCCAGCCATTTCTTCTACCATGGCCTGTGTGTATCCTTCATTTGTGCTGGAATTATTCCAGGCAGTTTTCCACCCTATTGATAATGTTGCTTGAGGAAAGTTTTGTTGGATAACACTGATGAATTCTGCAGCATCAACTGGTTTGCTGCCAGCTGCATTAGGTCCAACAAGTATGTCAGCATTAAGCCAAACTGGCTGACGCAGACTGCCCCTGGATGAATTAAGAATTTGCAAGCATGGTTCAACTGCTCCGATGCTTTTAAAATCTAGTTTCAGCCCTTTTTTAGTTTGAACAACATTTGTGAACCAGTTTTGAAAGGTATTATCACTATCTATAGCTGGAGGGTGTGCCATAATAGGAATGTCTGTTTGACTAGCTGTGCCCTGACCACGAAGTAAGATGTCTGCCTCCAACATCATGACATCACCTGAAATTGATAGCCCAATGGTAACTATTACATTGACAACCTTTGTACCATAGAAAAATAAGATCTTTAAATTGAAAAAACAAAAATCAATTGTGTTGAAAAGTGCACAACTGACAGTAATTTTTTTTTTTTTTTTTTGCCTAAGGTTACTGCCCATATTGAATTTTTTAAAAAGGAAGTGTTAATGTACAGCTGCAGAACAACTATCAACTGCTGATAAGTAAATAAACTGGTTTCCAAATAATCAGTGCTTACTTTTCAAAGCCATTTCCATGTCTGCTATACTGTTAGCAGCATGAGCCCATGTGATATCAATAGCATCTCTGTCTTTAACATCAAAGAAGTTGAGGGGACTTCCTGCTGTTACAGATAATTCCTGAAATTCTTTAAACTTGGTTCCTGGTAAATCATAAAAGATCTTTTCAATATACCAATTGTTTCGAACATAAAGTAAGTCGTATAAATCTGTTCCTTCTTTGTCTGTTACTCCTGAAGGGTTCCAAACTGTCAGCGTAAAATTGGAGTTCTGGCTCAGCAACCACTGAAACACACAATAAGAAGAATTAAGCTTTATTTAAGTGAGGCATATTTATTAAGAAAAATTATAGACGGATGCCTTATGCTAAAATTTCATAAGTATTTTCATTTTTAACAATACACCATTTAAAATATAAGCTTACTTTTAAATTGGGCCAAGCATTCTTCACAAGAGCTGCTCTGACTGTTATAGACACTGGCTGCTTAAGGTTCTTAATAAGAGAATACATTTCCTCCATTATGCTTTGTGTGTAAGAAGTTTGAGAAGAGTCAGATGCCCAAGCTACGGACAATGTCACTGCAGGATAGATTTGGTCAATTTGTGAAAACAACCTGTAAAATAGCAAAGGTTATCAAAAGAAGGAAACAAGATTATATAATATGTGATTGTTGACTTTCTGAAAACATGTCAAAGTATGCTATTTTCACGTTCAACTTGATAACAAGGCAACACACTTGTTTTGATACATTTGACACCTTTCACATGAAACATGGAAGCACTGAAAATATCATTCAATCAAAACTGTTTGGAACCCAATACTCAAAACTTTTTCATATTTACCAGGTATATATTTATACACAAGCAAAAATGTGAGAATGAGAGTTTTGTTCTTACTGCATAGGATTAATCATAGTTTTGTTGGTTCCGGGACCTAAAAGTATGTCTGCATGTATCCAAACTGGTATCACTATACTATCCTTCATGGCTTGCAGAACCTTTAACGTGGGTCCAATAACTTTGTCATGCTTCATGTTCAACTTGACACCTGTAACGAAAATCAAAATAGAATCCTAGAAAAATGTCAAAAGAAGTGTGAAATGTAGCTTAGATGCTAACCAATAGAATTCAAATATATAGGAACAGATACAAAATCTGTTATTAAAAAACTTAAACCAAGGAAAACAATCTGATGGGTATCACATCTGTATGTGACTCATATGTTCCGAATTAAATTGGACTGAGTGTGGTCCTCCACACGCCCTCCTCCAACGTAAATCTAAAAATAAAAATATGCATTATCAACATACTGTGCAAATGACAACTGTACCTTTTTTCCTGCCATTCAGATTAGCATCTAAAATGGCTTCCATCCACTCTTGCAATGTATTATCCCTTGCCACAGATGGCACAGTAGTTTCATCTTGACCACTTGGGCTTCCTCCCAATGTGACATCTGCTTCCAACATCATGGCATCACTACTCAAGACATCTTCCATCTGCTTCTTTGACATATCCCCATTGTACCATGTGACTGCAAGACCATCTGTTACATTGAAAAACTGAAGTGTATCCATGCTGGCAAAAGGCTGGCCACCTGAAAATGAAGATACTATATTGCAGATTATAACATCTGTAAGACTGCTTGCTTAAATATTTTTAAGAGTGCACCATGAGAGCTTAACTGGATGTAATGAGATCCCATGACACAAGCAACTATGCATCATACTCACGTGCATCACACCCAGGAAATATATCCATGTACTCCAGTATCAGAAGCTTCACTGAGGTTTGGCACATTTTACTGTTATAAATTATGTGACACATGCACTCATATTCAGAACTTCTGATAAAGGTATGAAGAGTCAATACTGGCCTAGAACTATTACTGGTATTGTTCTCAAAAGAGTAATACCTCCCAAGTTAGATATATTATAGTTATATTATTATTAGTTTAGAATATCAGCCAGCTTCTTTATTTTTTTACTATGAACCCTGCTTGTCAAATAAAGTAATGTATGGCACACTGATGTGGATATTTGGAAATGAAGAGGCTGGAAAGCATTCAATTGGAAGCTGTATGTGTATCTAGTTGTGACTTAATGCAATAGTTCTATACTGTTCTTACTCTGAACAATCCTCTTCTTAACAACAACAAAGACAGCCACCAATATGATACAAATTACAAGAAGCAGCAGTGCAAATCCAACACAACAAAAGATCCGTTTTCTGTTGCAAGTTGAAGCATATCTTCTCTTTCTGATATCTGTAAAAAAAATACTGGGAGGGTACATGACAGTGTCAAAATTATTATAATTTTAACAACTTTACAACTGTACAAGACATGGAATTACAATGAAGTTTTGTTATGTACACTATATAGGTCTCTAACACTGATATTTTCTACAGGTAAGTAAATGAGTACTTGCAAAGTGAACATTTTGTGTAATATTTGCATACCTGCATACTGCGGATAAACGAATACACTTACCAACTGCCATCAGAAGGCAACATATCGCCCCACTGATATCGCCCCGTGTTCTACAAGGCATGCATTTCAACTTCCTGTTACAGCTACTTCACACATGCGCATTATACACGGCCGATGCTACCCAACCTCCCACCCACTTCGACGTCAACACACCTGTTAGCCTACAAATTCGCGTAAGGAAACGCGTTTAACAAGGTTAAAGAGATAATAGCTGTTTGCTCTGGTAAAAAATACGGATTTTCCTAGGGTATATGACGATTTCCCATACTAATTACCAATGGTTATTGAATCCATTCCAACATTCAAAATTAGTCCACGTTGTTTTTCTAAAAAGTCTGGTCAGATATAGCCTACATGTGGCATGTTTAGAACAAAGGAGCTGAGGGATTCAGCTGCAATCTTTTTCATAAAAATATACCTTTTAAGTGAAAATGAAATACAAAATCCTTCCTGTCGTAGTTGCCCGGTTTTGTTGTCTATCCTGCTGTTGTAAATATAAACTTAGATGGTCATTTAATGTGGCATGTTTAGAACAAAGGAGCTGAGGGATTCAGCTGCAATCTTTTTCATAAAAATATACCTTTTAAGTGAAATTGAAATACAAAATCCTTCCTGTCGTAGTTGCCCGGTTTTGTTGTCTATCCTGCTGTTGTAAATATAAACTTAGATGGTCATTACACATACAGTCTTCTAAAATTAGCGGATTTTTTCTGAAAGTATGGAATTGCCTCTACTCTTTGTAATTTGAAATCTTGACGGTTAATTATTCTTCAATCACCACTGCTCAAAGTGGGTCAAGTTTGAGTGGCCAGCTGGTGCTCACGTGATACCCCATTTTGCTAAGCCTGCCTGTTGTTGAGCAGTGCCGGATTTAGGGGGCTATCAGGGTGTCCTGACCCCTTCTGATCTCTGAAAAAAATCTTACCAATGGTTCCCTCTTTAAATTAGAATTTTGACTAGCTGAATCATATTTCTAAACCATACCAAATAAAAAAGGGAGGGGGCGCAGTCGGCTTCGCATCCCCGGACCCTACCCCTCACCCCCACCCTCTCTTCAAATATTCCGAGATCCGCCCCTGCTGAGGTAAACAATGCTCGGAATTAACTAAAGTATCTTTGACAAAATGGTGCAATGTCTATATATTGTGCAAATAGAGAGTGTTGTAATGAACATTTTCATACATATGGGACGAATGTCCTAATCTTATATAATTTTAGTACTCTTGTGAAACTTCAAGCGAAACTACCTCCGTCTCCGCGCTCCGGCTCTCCCGATCTCCTTAATAAATATTGTATATACCATTATAAGTAATTAAAGTTTGCGTGCATCGAACATAGATAAGAAATAAATATATAAGCGATAGAAATAGAGATCCGAGGGAGGGAAGAGACGAGTAGGAGGAGAGGAAGAGATCGGTAGAGCCGGAGCCTTACACTACCGGTATGTCCGGCAGATACCGGGCATCGACGCATAAATCGTTTACAGGTCATTGTGTGGACTTGGGTTTTCGTGTTTCTTTGTTCGACCTTACGTAAATCTGACACGAACTTTAGATTGCGTTATCCGCTATGCAAGTCGAAAACAAATTGTCCTATTTCGAGTCAACGCTTAAATTAAGCGTACTAAAATTATATAAGTTTAGGACATTCATCCCATATGCATGAAAAGGTTCATTACAGTGTGTTTGGTTTTCCTTTAGCCAGAGATCAAGGGAATTGTGCCTCTATATTAAACCATTGTTGTGCTTCTTGGGGATGGCTCAAAAACAGTTGCGCAGGGGTTACATTTTTTTTTTTTATAAAGGGAGGTAGAAACATAATTTTGTATAGATTTGTATAATTGTTGTTAAGTTGTTATGACTAGTGTAGAGAACCTGTAAAATGTAATGTGTATGCATTTTAGTGCTCAATAAAGATTATTACATAATGGCCTACTAATTAATTTACTCATTAATTGTGTTTAGGGTAGGATCTTTGGAGATTAATTTGTTTATGGTAGGAGACCCAGGGGCGGATTTAGGCCGTCTTCTGGGTCTTCCGGAAGACGGTCAGATTTTCAAGTTTACATTGACTAGTATTTAATTTTTTTCTGTCGGAAGACGGTCAATAATGGAGGATGGACCAACAAAAATAATTTGGAAGACTGTTAGAAAACTTCTCTGGATCCGCCCCTGAGACCTATGGAGACTTTTCACATGATAAAGCCTACTCAGAATAGTCGTAAGGCAGACGAAGCTCATCCGCGAACAAATCCCTGTAGGCCTATACTAAGAACAGGTCTGATATTAGTGCAAACTATATCTACGTAGGCTATGATCTCTGTTACTTATCAATTTTCGGCCACGATCGCTGTTACTTATCCATTTCCCCTCTCATCGGATGCTCTCCTACTTTAATTAGATAATAATATTATCAAACTGAGAAGGAAGCGATTAGACTGACTCAATATGATAAGAGTTTTAAAAATTAATTTCGTATTATAAAGATTCTTTGTGTTTTTTTTTTCAATAGCTTCGTGCCTGAACTAGGATCCTTTTAACAGCGAAAATTGGTAATGGTAGGAAATTATTATTGATATCAAATATTGTAACAAAATTGACCCTTGACGAAGTGTGGTGTCCAGTTAGCTCGGACCGACAGTATTGACCCATTAGAGCCTGCGTCATCAAAACAAACGGCAGCCATTCTGGAGGGAGACAGGAATCGTCTGCTGCGCATGAACAAGCCATGCCTGTAGTTCAGTTTTCGTTTTCTGTATTTTCTTTGATATTTAACCGAGCAAAATGATGAATTACTGCAGGTTATTTGATCGAGAGAAGATAACTAACTTTACAAGCGTTCACAGGCTGCCTGCAGTGGTAACAATCCATGGTGAAGGAACTAAACCATAAACGGAGGAGAGACGGCGAGGTGGCTTTGAATCAAGACTCTTCGGAAAAGTAAAGGATAAAACTAATTTATTTTATAGCAAAGAATGGAGAGCCAGCTGTGCAGATTTTACCATAAAAGAAAAAACAGTAGAAAACCAAAGACCTAGGTGTGTACATTTGGGGCGCACGTACACTACATATATATTTAAAGTAGTGCCCAAAAAGTTTGGGTGGAGAGTGTGTTAATTTGTTAAAACGTGTGGAAATACCCAGGCAGGGTTTCGACTTTTATAATGAAGACTCACCTATTGCCTTGGGTGTAATTTGTTATCAGTTACGGTGCTCTCTAGATTTTATCGGCTGTCACCTACCTCTTTAATACCTGGTTAGCATTATTGCCAATTAGTGTCAAGGCTATATTTGTACTGTACACAGCTGAGCTGGGCCAATTAAATCAATTACCTGTATGAGGTGCATTTGGAAGTTAGTGGCTTAATTTTCGATTTGGTGTAGTGATAAGAGTAATTTTATTTTGCAAGTAAATTCTACCTCAGGTGTAATTGACATATAACCTCATGAAATGAATTTGCACTTTCCTCTGTAAAAATGTTAAATTCTGCTCCTTTCAACTGTAATGTTGTAAGTTACAATACGAATAAAAATCACTATTGTCATCTTTCTATTAATTTACATTTAGGAAATTGACTGGCATTTCCCACCAAGCCACACTGATTGGGCGCAAGTAAATTAATTATCAAAAAAAAAAAAAAAAAAGAAATGAAGATCAATTCATGAACTGAATTATTGTTATTTTACATTGGACATCATAAATACATAAGTGTGAAAAATGCCTTGCTTCTGTGAATGACTGAATAATAATAAAATCCTAACATGTTGCTTATATGAATGGTTGCATTCATGGTGAATGATAAAACTCTCTCAAACAATAGTCTTGTTACATGTACTTTCTAATGAACCAATATGAAGTACAAGAATGCTGAAATAATTTCTGACAGCTTCACGATGTAGAGATAAGTCATAACTGACAGCAATATTTCATGTCATACTTTATGACAATCCTGCATACATTCTTCCTTGAGTCCACAAGGGTTTATCCTGATGATCAGCTCAAATTTCTCCTTATATCTATCCTTTATGAAAAAAGTTGCTTCTATGTAAGGTTAAACATGATTACACATTAAACTCTCTCAAACTATAACTGTTATTACCCAATGAACAAGAAAAATGAAGTACAAGATAACTGAACTATCTTCTGACAACACGATGTTGGATAAGTAGCATTTGGTAGGATTTCATGTTTTTAGACTGTCTTGAGTTCATATTGGTCGATCCTGCTGAGCAGCTGAAGCTTCAGCTTGTATATATCCTTTTCCCTTTGGTGTACTTGATCGCGATATGAAGTTTATTTTATTTTATTTGGTTCACCTATATTACCGCTACTATTCCCCGTCGTTCATTCCCTCCAGAATGGCCGCGGGACTAGTGTTACGGAGCAAATATGACGTCACTGTAATGGGTTAATAGGAAACGCGGAGAAACCCGACAACAGTCTCGAAGTTAATAACCAACAATAAAAATAGATCAAAGATTATATTGTAAAGAAAATATTGGAAATTATTTTATTTTCCACAAGTAAAAATGCATGTAACAATATATTTCATGTCAAGATGTAGCAAGCCCTATCGTTTGACAGGGAGCATTGATCTGGTAACGGTGGTTAGTCCAGATCTGACCTCTACGTTTGTATATTAGATGTCCATTTTCATCATTGACGTTATTTTTAATAGAATACTGTCTAAGATTAGATGTCCATTTTCATCACTGTTGTTATTTTTAATGGAACAATTCAGTTAAGTTCAAAATGAAATGCCATCAATCAAGCACCAAACAAGCCATAGATGGAATCCATAACGCTCCTGAAATACCCGGTGGACTGGAATATTCTCTGAACGGCGTCGTTGTTGGGGTTTCCTTGCCTCCCGTCCCACTTCAGCTTCATACAGCGGTTGGAGTCCGTGGAGTAGTCGAGTGATAGCGCCCACATTTTTTGGCACAGGCCCCTGCCGTCCTTGTATGTCTGAAGGACAAAAAAATTATAAATGATTTGTTTAAAATTAGAAAAGACATTCCATATGAGAGAGATAGGTAGAGCGAACATAATTTAATGAAACTTCACTTTATGCTTATGCAGTTGCTACATGGTAAATGCATGCTTTCATGCAATGTAAAAATTTTTGACTCAAAAGTTCATTTCTTAGGCTGCCAAATAAGTAATACAAAAAAAAAAAACTTGCAGTTGGCCAAATAAGCGTTTTGAGGTTTGAACGGTAGCCTCTTAGAAATACTGATTGACGGTGCTTTTTGTGCAGTTGGAGTAAAAAAAACACGCCGAAGATTTATGGTAAATTCAAGCTCAGTTCACTACGTACCACTTTGCTAATTTTTACACCATCATTTAACAGAAACAGACTGCAGTTGTCCAGAAATTAAAGAAATCGTATGTGAAAAGAATCAGGGCAATAACTTTTCTCTGACCACATGGTCACCTAGTAGTCTGTTATAAAATTATTGTATCGGTCTTATTCATCAATTTCGTATACTGTATGAT